CTTTTCGCCCCCTCGTACGTGTCTATTTATTGCGATTTGAAATTTTGACGTCCTTTCGAGTATGTATTTTATGACGCTGGTCGCTGGATTGCCTTTTGAATCGTCCCTGCAACTCTCTTATCCGATATCCTCTTCGTCCTTTGTAAGTTCTCTCCTTCCTTGCTTCGAAGACTTTTTCTGGTTTATTCTTTCCTTGGCATATTCTTATAAATTGTAGGGTATGGCGAAACATTTAAAAGACCTTCTCTCGTCAGATCGAATTACTGGCTTTAAACGTCATTTCTCCATTCCTGATGATGTCCGTCTGTCGTTTGTGGCAGATGGCACTCTTGATATGGAGAGGGAGGACAAAACCACGATTGTCTTTCCTCTTTTGTCAATCGCAGAGGGTGGAGTCCGTTTTCCCCTTCACCCGTTTCTTAGGGCTGTGCTTTGCCATTGGGGTTTAATCCCTTCCCAATTCAATGTGAATTTCTTTAGAATTATAATGGGGGTTATAGCGCTCAACCGTCGCCTTAGAATTAGCCTTGGCATTCCAGCCATCCGACATTGCTATGCCTTGGGTAAGTCTTCTGGTCGGCACGGGCGTTTCTTGCTTAGGGCCGAGGATATCGACCATCAGCTAATTACTATGCTTTCCAGTTCTGGGAAACGAGTTGATGATGTTATGGTCGTTGTCTAGGGTAACTGGGAATTTGGCGAAGGGGAGGATCACATCAACCCTATTCCTAGATGGAGGGGCAAGCCAGGTGGCCGATTGCCTTCTTGCTTTTATTATTTGTTCATTTTTGTTGTAAAGCCTCTTCTTTGAAATGTTACGGCTTGGCTTGTGCAGGGAACGATTTGAAGAAAGTCCTGTCTTCGACTGACGACCCCTTCTTTCGGATATCAAAGTCGCGCTCAAGTATTTCAGCCGTCGAAGTCTTTAGAAACAAGGGAGGGCGGCCCACGTTCTGCTTCGTTACGAGCCAACATATACGACCTTCTCGGCGGCGAAAAATATCCCGGTTCCGGAGGGTGAAGATTCTCTTATCGCTCTTATTTTGTTCGACTTCAAAAACTTGAGGCAGGTTGGTTTTGAAGGGTCTGATTCGGAGCGGGATGTAGCTAATGTTACCGAATCAGATCAGTACGAAACCGAGTCTGACGAGGTATTGAATTCGGCCGATCCTTCATCTACTTCGGGCTGAGGTCGAAGCTTTGAAGGCGAACAAGGAAGCCTCAAGGGCTGAGGCTGAGGTGGAGAGGGCTCGTAGCACGGATCAATTCAGATCGGATGCCGAAAAGGAGGCGGACGCGAGCGAAGATGCGCTCAAATTGGCCCAGAAGGCGGTCTCCAAACTGGAGGCTGAGTTAGCTGAAATGAAGGCGGCGAAGGAAACAGCCGACTCGGAGGCTTCCAAAGTATTCGAGGCCGAGAAAAATGCTGGACTCGCCGAGTATTTGGACCAAGTCCCCAAGTTTGAAAATCGGGGATTCAAACATGGCTGGCACAAAGCTCTTGCTGCTGCTAAAGTTTTATTGATTATGCCAATACCATATGAGCAAGTGGATGTTGAGCCATTGGAGTCTGATTCCGATGACTGATCTGGGCGACTGACATAGTTTTTAGGATGTCGAATGTATTTTTACAGTTTTTAATTTGGTATTTTTCATGAATTGCTACAGTCATAGTTTTTTGCTAGGCATTTTCATGCGGGCTTGTAGCTTTTTGTTTAGTAATTTGCGTATATAAAATTTCATGAGTTGTGCTCAACTTGCTAAGGAAAATGTTGTTGATGAATGATATTGCTTTCGGTTATGGTTAGATCGGCTGCTTAGCTTAGGTATTTGGCCAATCAGATTAGTAAATCTGCCCTTGCCTTAGCCAGGGCGCGAGCTTGGGAAGCCGAATCTTGGGCAGCCGAATGGGCCTAACTTGTGGGCTGGCTGAGGCACAGATTGATCGGCACTTGCGCTTGAAAACATGGCCGACCAGATTAGTATATCTACCCTTGCCTTAGCTAGGGCGCGAGCTTGGGAAGCCGAATGGGCCTAACTCGTGGGCTAGCTGAGGCACAGATTGATCGGCGTTTGCGCCTGAAAACATGGCGGACCAGATTAGTAAATCTGCCCTTGCCTTAGCCAGGGCGCGAGCTTGGGAAGCCGAATCTTGGGAAGTCGAATGGGCCTAACTCGTGGGCTGGCTGAGGCACTGATTGATCGGCGCTTGCGCTTGAAAACATGGCCGACCAGATTAGTATATCTACCCTTGCCTTAGCTAGGGCGCGAGCTTGGGAAGCCGAATGGGCCTAACTCGTGGGCTGGCTGAGGCACAGATTGATCGGCGCTTGCGCCTGAAAACATGGCGGACCAGATTAGTAAATCTGCCCTTGCCTTAGCTAGGGCGCGAGCTTGGGAAGTCGAATCTTGGGAAGCCGAATGGGCCTAACTCGTGGCTGACTGAGGCACAGATTGATCGGCCCTTGCGCTTGAAAACATGGCCGATCAGATTAGTAAATCTGCCCTTTCTTTAGCCAGGGCGCGAGCTTGGGAAGCCGAATCTTGGGAAGCCGAATGGGTCTAACTCGTGGGCTGGCTGAGGCACAGATTGATCGGCGCTTGCGCTTAAAAATATGGCCGACCAGATTTGTAAATCTGCCCTTGCCTTAGCCAGGGCGCGAGATTGGGAAACCGAATGGGCCTAACTCGTGGTATGGCTGAGGCACAGATTGATCGGCGCTTGGGCTTAAAAACATGGCCGACCAGATTAGTAAATCTGCCCTTGCCTTAGCCAGGGCGCGAGCTTGGGAAGCCGAATCTTGGGAAGCCGAATGGGCCTAACTCGTGGGCTGGACAATTGTCATCCGTCTTTTGATGTTTGGGATTACTGACGTTGCCTCGGGAGAGCTGCATACATTGTAGGATAAATGGGGCGGGTGCACGCCAGAGGCCCTACTTATTTCCATTCAGGCAACTTGGGAGGGACGAAGATTGGCTGAATTAGATGCCGCAATGAGTCGCAGTAACGAGCCTATGCGTACGGGAAGAAGGACGTCCAAGGATCGGGAAACACAGCAGCTCCTTAGTCATCGAAGCAGATCGCCCCGAAAGGATAGGTAACAACGGAGAAATTCTCCGCGCCCGCGACCGAGAATCGAGCCCGATGCGACGCCATGACCGTTGAGTTTTGCGGTTTTTGTGAGGAATAGACCAATGACGGAGGCGGATTCTATCATTAAAGACCCAGGTGTAGCAGTTGAGTTTGCTCGACAGATCTTCCCGCCGAAAGTCCAACAATCGATGGTCGGACGTCAAGATTTTGAAGTATTTCGAGACGGCATACATGGGGCCGTGAAAGGACTATATACTGCTTACGAAGTCGGCATGCGTCTACGGGAAGCGCGACGTGAGAGTGAGAAAAAGGACGAAAGGAATCGCAGTCTGGAGATTCGCGCGGAAAAGGTTGAGGGTGAGCTTCGGGAGCTGAAGAATGTTCAAACGAGCGTGTCGGTGGCGGCCGGTCAATCTAAATTAGTCGTTGAGGAGAGAGTGACCCAACGGACCTCGGGTTATGAAAAGGGGTTTTAGGATGGCCTGAAGGTCGGGATAGAGAAGACCAAACGAGACCTTGCCGAGGAAGTCTGCCGATGTGAAAATCGTGGATTCAAGCACGGCTGGATCAAGGCCCTTCAAACGGAGAAAGCTCTCGAAGCTGTGGGCATTGATTTGGCTTCACCCCTATATCATCGTCACTACTTACCCTATTCCGATTTCGAAATTGAGAAGAGTGACGATGAGGGGGCCGAATAAATAGAATTTCTTTTATTTTCAACGTTCGTATTTGCTCTTGAAATGTTATGTGCTTAATTAAACGTATTATTTCAACTTACTGGCAAGTTTTATGTTGCGTGGTGCAAATGTTTAAACATGCATTGACTGGCTCGAATTAAGAACAATTCTCAGTGAACATTTATTCGGCCAGTGAAGTGGTCCGAATGCATCTCTCACAAAGGCTCCGAATTCGGAGTCTTAATCGGCCTTAAGAGGCTTAATCGACTCGAATGTGTCATGTACCAAAAGGGGGCTCCGAATCCGGAGACTTTAATTTGGCCAATTCGTGATATCCACGAAGGGCGCTCCGAATCCGGAGTCTTTTGTGTCTATTAAAATTTGACCGTAACCAACCTTGATCTTCCTAAGATCCCAAAAAACAAAAAAAAAAAACAAAAAAAGGAAAAAAAACCAAAAAGCACGTGCATTAAATGGGATCCACAACTTAAAACACAACCAAATAACTGATCCAGTAATCAACTCTCTAAAAAGGAAAATGTTATAGACTCCAAATAAATTATCAATTTTTTTATCAAACTTCTCACATAGATGTGAGATCCACACATGTGATTTATGTGAGTTCCACAAAAGTTTAATAGAGAATTTAGTAATTAATTTAGAGTTTTAAAATAACTCTTCTAAAAAATAATCAAACAAAGCAACAATACAGTAGAGCAATAATTCTCACATACCACGGGGATACCTGCCTTTTTATAGAACCAGTGCCCTCCTCCTAGTACTCTGATCTCACTAGTGATCTCATCTTTACTAAGACACTTATTTCATAATTGGTTTAAGACTCAAACCCTCACATGGAGTCTTATCTCACCCAATCTAGGAGTCTATCTAAACCAGAACTCATCCTCTCTCGAATATCTCGGATGAGGTGGTGAGCATTATCCACACCTCAGCCAGTATTTCCTCACAGCGTGACACCTCAGTCCTAAGCCTAGACATGTGCACTGCACAAAAATGTCCCCATAAAAAAGATGGGTATTTTTCAACCATTTATTTTTAGTTATGGTTACTGAAAAACCATTTTAGAGTCATTCCCTAACTTTGTCAGTAATGATGTTCTCATATAATTATGTAATGAAACAACATAGCAAATTAATGAAAAAAGCTCAACAAAGCATCCGAATAAATAAAATAACATCCAAAACAATTTTTTTTTTTTTGTACGAACATCATGCAGTGGTACCAATCACTCTCGGCTGCAACCAAGTGGCACCCAACAGCTCTTTTGCATCATAAAGATCCTCCGTAGAACAGTCACTGCCAAGAGCTCCAAATCTAGAGTTGTCTAACGAGTAAACAATGCAACTATTGTTACTACTAGCGAATGTAGGAAAACTTATTTTGTTCTTCAGTGTACCTCCTATTGCAGGCACAACTAGCGACGATGTCTGACTGAAAAAGAATAATAGACATCCCAAATTTGTCAGTTTAACCCACTCCGTAGAAGAAGAGTTTAGTTGGAAAATATGAACAGGTTTTCCCATTGGACCCACAAAGACTGAGAATAGATTTTTCTTGAAAGAAACCATAAATCCCCGAGACATGGTTTGCAGACACTGTGATGATTGGGGATGAACACGAATGAGCAAAGAACCACCTGTCCCTGTCAATCTAAAGGTCCCCAAACTTCCTTCCTCACCCAAACAATAGAAACATTGATTGAAGAAGACTGGATTGCAACCCGATAAGACGAATGGTCTTCCATTATCATGTCCACTGCTAGTCCAATTCTCGTCACCTGTCTTTATATATGAAATATTTACCACCATAGAAGTCGTATGAGAAATGGCAAAAACAACCCAATCTGAAGAAATTGGCGAAGCTGAGAATGAAATGCCGTCAAAACAGTAATCCTCCACCAAATCTGGAAGCTTAATCTTTGTTTTACTAAAGAATTCAAAGAAAAAAACCGACCTCAGACCTTCAGTAACAAGTAGCCAACCATCATTTGAGAAGCGAATCTCACACCCTAACAGTTCCTTGCTATACATGTAATAAGTTGAATTGTTCATTGGATCACAGAAAGACCATAACCCTTTTTCCCTTTCAAAGAGCATGAGCCAACACTCTATGGACGTCAAACTAGTTGGATCACTTCTCCAGCGGATTGGAGGGGTAAGTGACCTCCATCCTCTACATACACTGCGTAAGCTCATGTAATCTTTAACGTTAGTATTAGCAACAAACTTTGCGCCAAGTTTTTGTAGGTCCATTGGAAGTTTTTTTATTTCAAAATTACTATCACCAAGGTTATGAAAAACGGTTACGGTCATCGTAACGGTGGCGGTGGCGCGGTTGCGGTTGCGGGGTGTAAAGGCCGTAATGTAACGGTTGCGGTAATCGGAACCGTGAATTTTTTTTATTTTTCGTACAATTTAAAAAAAACTTACCGATACGCATATTTTTTTCCATGATCATATTTATTGGGTTAAAAATAAATATTGATCAATTTTTATAAATTTTTAAGTATGATCCAATATATTTCATATTTTTAAATCACTATAAACTGAGTTTTTTACATTTTATTTTAATAATTAATAACTTTATATTATACAAAAAATCAATCACTAACTATTATATATATAAGATAAACAATGATAAAAGTAAGAGAATAAATAAGAACATAAATATATATATATATATATTAACCAAGCCAAATAGATAATCACCACACTTATTATTATTATTATTTTCAAATAATATACAAATAGATACACACAAATAAAATGGTTGAGTGATAGCAGCTGAATAGAATAGCATAGGCCTTACAGTTTCAACAAATCAATAACATGTTCTTCATCTTCCCTATTTTCTCTCTCTATCTCTTACTCCTCCATTTTCTATCTTTATCTTCTTTCTTCTCTCTATCCATCTTCCCCCATTTTTAACTTTTTTTGTGTGTTTTTTCGAAAGAAACAGTTTGGAACCGTAACGTAACGGTGCATACAAGCCGTTACGGCTGTTACGGCGCTGTTACGACTGCTACGGCAACCACTACAGCCGACACACCTGTGAATCTCAATCACACTACAAAAGCGGTCGTAACGGGTGGCGGTAACTGCCAAAACCGTTACGTAACAGCATTACGTAACGGTTGCGGCCGCTTTTTAAAACCTTGACTATCACATAAACAACGGATTTGTTGGGCTGGTTCGTTTGCTTGTTTTTTCTTTTCCACCTTTTCTCCTTTTGGGATGATCTGTGCATCTTTTTCACGGGTATCAATCAGCCTGAAAGGCCAAGAAACATTTTATCACATCAAATTTCATTTACAACAAAGAAGGAAAAAAAAAGGTAAAAACAATGAAAGAATTTAAGAGTTTAAAATTGTGAAACAATAAGAAAAATAAAATAAGTTGCAAGTTCTGACGAAGAAAACATAAATAAGTATGAAATGAATGACTAAATTCATCTAGGTCAAAAATCAAAATACATAAAATTAAGTTAGAATTATCTAATTATCTGTATTTCAAAAAAACAATCAATCCTACAATCAATCAAGCCTCTTTATCATTTGCTGTTAAAAGAATTTGTTTTGCATTGTCTTAATAAGATCTTTCTTGTTACAAAACCTCAAATTCTTACTCCTCCCCTCTCAACAAAACTCTTCCTGTTTTTATTATTTTGCTTCTTTTGTAGAGACTCAGCCTCTATATGTACTAGTGTAAAGCTTTCTAAGTGGGATTGAATGTTGATAGATATATGTTTCATTTTGTGCACACTTGATGAATGGTTTTCCCTGGGCCTCAAAAAGTTATATGCCATTTGATTTTAGTTTATTTTTGTCACATGATGTTTCAAATTTAGGTTAATTAAATGTGAAAAAAAAAACTTGTAGTCAATACCCCCGGCCCCAACCTATGGTACGTATATATATTTTATATATTATAAAGGGTTAATTATATTTTTAGTCCCCAAACTATGAGTGTTGTGTCAATTTGGTCCCCAATATATAAAAAATGTTTCAATTTGGTCCTCACAATTTAAACATTGAGGACAAAAATGACACAATGCTCATAGTTTAGGAATAAAAAATGTAATTAACCCTATTATATATATAAATCTATTCTAACAATTATCTTTTTTCTCCTTAGTTGTAATATATGTTAAAATATAAATTATTAATGATAACTATTGTCAACTACAAATTGTTTTTGTTAAGTATAAATAAATACTATGTATATACAAAGAACTAGAACAAATGTGAGTTGTTTTTCTTTTGTTTGTTTGAAATTTGTATGTTTGGGAGGTTTATCATGGTTGGGAACAAATTTCTTCCTCGGGAGCAAATTTCTTACTGATTTTTTTACATGGGAGCATGCAATTGCTGTTGTTTTGAGATGAAAGCACAAAGACTTATTCTCAGAATGAAGCAAAAGAGCGGTGTGTTATATGCTAGGTTTAATGAGATTTCAATTTAATTCAATTCGAACATGTAGTTGCTTATCTCTTTTATGCATAGTAAATTTAGAGCAAAGGTTTCTCCTTTTTGCCTTCCAAAAAAGATCAAGGGTTCAGAATGTTTGCCATCACTATTTCCTCCACTAATCTCAATAAGCACAAACTCATGAAATATTAGCATCTACAGAAGACTGAGTTCTCCTAAAACAAACCCTATTGAAAGACATAATAACTTAGCCTGCTTTTTAAGATTTAACAACTCAGTTGATGTTTAAAATTCTCTACGAAAAAGTTAATGTTGATCCAATAAGGGTTCTACAATGCATTTTTGAATCAAGGCTAGGATAAAATAAAAGATTCTAGGCTCAAAAAAGTTAACTGATCGAGCCTCCCATAAGTCATACACTTCATTTACCCAGGCTACGCCTGAAGGTGTAAAAAAATGCACTTTTTGTGCCTAGGTGGGTGCAGCGTATGCCTTCAAAGAGAAATAAAAAGCAGAAGCAAAAGAAGGCAACTTTGTCCAATACATGGGAGCTCAGCTATGAACTAGTAATATTAGGCATTGTCCAATACGCTTCCAGCATGCTTTCCAGTCAATTTTGTTTGACAGCAAGCACAGAGGAAGAAAGCAAATTCAAGGCACAAAGACATGCTACTTTGCAAGGCCACAAGTAGGATTACACTACAAGTGCAATAAGCATGCAAGAGGTGACCAAGACAGCCAAAAATAGAGTCATGATAAGTCTAAAGGGTCACAAAAAAGTGCTCAAACAAAGCCTCAAGAAGATAGAACTACATGCTTTTTTGGTGAGCCACCAACACAAGTAAACAAGAGAAGAGGAGGGGGGGACAACCCCCTCCTATTTGGGACCTCAAAACCACTTTTCCACCACTGAAATTTCTTTGGATTTCAGTGGTGAAGAGGCCAAACAAAGGTGATCCAAAGGCCTAAAAGAGATGGCTCAAAACAAGGCCAAACAAGGCACAAAAGGGGGGTAGACCACCCCCAACACCAAAGAGGCCTTAAACAAACACTTTAAGCACTTAAAATCGCAACTTTTTTTAGTTGAAAGCAAGGCCTAAAACAGTATGCAGGGGGGGCCAAACACTTATACAAAACAAGGCTTAAAGGGGGTAACAACTCACCCTTGAAGAACCACAGCAAACCAGCACTTTTGAGCCAAAGAAAACAAACTTTGAGAGTTCAAACAAGGTCCTCTAGTACCTCAGCAACAAAGCAATGGTGCTTTACTAGGTGTTGTAGTGCAAAAGTGAAGGCAAAACACACTTTTAAGCAATATATAGAGAGAGAGAGGGAAACATTGAGAGAGATATATGTTTTGTATCCCCAATTTTCAGAACCTCTGGAAAGGGAGAGGGGTCTCCCTTCTTATAGAAATCCAAGTCCTAAGCTTGTTGGACAAGCTAAAGGCTTGGTTCAATCCCTCTATACACGTGTATGGAGGATGAAATCTGTGCTCACCAACTGTCACAGCTGGCACAAAAATATCTGCAAAAGCAAATAAAAAGGCCTCAGCCAACAAACATGGCCGACTGGCCAAAAAGGGTGCCGACCGGCCATAAAAGGTGTCGACCGGCCACCACTGATGGCCGATGAAGAGAGGGCATGGCCGATAGGTGCAGGGCCTGGTCGATGGGTTGTAGGAGTGGCCAACAAGCCACCCCCTTCCCTCAGAAACAAAAACACAAGCTTTTCGTCGACAACCAAGCACAAAACAGACAAGTTGAGAGGCTCCAAGGCAAGGCGCGTAGCCGAGACCTTCAGAAACTCAAAATGAACACGAGCATAGATGATCATCGAGTGTTCAAATGATGACGTCTAAGTCTTGAGGATGGTCAAAAATGTGGTGTCTACGAGTTCCCCTCTTTGACAGAACTCGAAAGTCATAAGATGACGAGAGTGAAAGTCAAAGCCCAGAGACGACCTATTTTTGACAAGGCCGAAGACTTAGACAAATATACAAGATAACAATAAGATGCGCCCACAGGCAGGGGCAAGATGGAAATGACATGCACAATGCAGAACATAACTTATGATTATGCAAAAAGGGCTGTAATGAAGCATTCATGCAAAATAAATACAACATTTTACAACAGTTTCACACATTCCAACAGAAAGGATGTAAGAAAATTATAATTCTCACTGTGTCTCACGCGGAGAAGACTAAAAGCGACTACCGAGAATACCTGGAGTCTCAAACACAACATCTCCTAGTGTATCAAATGCGAAAGGAGAGGGACTACGCAAGAAATTTAATATATTAACCATTAAATACAGGGTTTATCTAAGGTTACAAGAGTAGAAAATGTCACTAATGAGTCCTTTGGCTAATAACCAAGCAGGATCACAGGAAGGTCGGAGGAGTCAAAATAGCCTCCCTTCAAAGTCCAACTACCTTAGATAGCAAAGCTACCTTTTTGACAGATCTTGACATTGTATTAATACAAGGCCTACATGAGTTGACGGGGTACAAGGATAGGTTACAAATGTTATATATATATAATAATTACAAATCATGCCTTAAATACAACATGGGATCTATCACTTACAATCTCAAACATGTTTAACATAATTGGCCCCTAACTCTCATTGGATAGCCATACATCCTCAAATACTTCAGCTTTGCCTTCGACCGGTCTAATAGTCTTCAATACCTGGCACGAAACGCCGTGAGCTTTGAATGCCCAGTAAACACACACACACACCGTCCCTTTTTTCCAATCCAATACACCTTCACATTTATGGCAAACAAGTAGTGAAGCATGATATTCAAGTCAATAACAGTAATTTCAATAATAGAGAAAAGAAACATGTCATTCAAATAGATAACAAGGTTATAATGTTAGT